GTCACGGTCACAAGGGGTTGCAGGGCCAGTTTGGGTGATGGGACTGAATATTCGTTATATAATTTCAAAATATAATTGCTCATATGAAAAACGTCTCAGTAAATTTCAAGCATGCATCTCGAGCCCCATAGATTGTTTACTACAGGACGTGATGACTCGGACTGAAGGGTGGGGTGGAAGAAAATTATGCAGTGACTAAAGCATAGAGTAGGGGTAGGGTAGTGATGCGCAGGAAAACGAAGCTGTGGGTGGTACAAAGCATAGAAAATGGCGTTCAATAATTGGGAATAACAGGGGGTACTGGTAGGGAGACAAGACCATTTCAACAGGGTGGGTAGTGTAAACTGGGGGGTGGGGAAGGCACATCTACATCTGTCAATCGGAGGAACAAGACAACGTTTCGACACTTTCTCTTCATAGTACTTTTTTTAGTCGCAGTAGCACTCAACAACCCAACCAATACTACCAGTAGGAGTACCCCTATCCCTCCTCCGATGTTCCCAAAATTGATTAAAGTTTTATGGTACCAAAGCAATGGTGACCTTACTACTATCTTTACAACAGAAACACACGTGTAGTAATCTTTTTTTTTTTTGAGGGGGGAAATGGCTTTGCCTGTGGGTGGGATTCCACGTCTTTCGTCTGGTGCCAGGGGTATAGTTTTTGCGGCTTCAATTGAACCCCCCTTGGGGACAGAAGGATGACCCCCTGTGACTCCCAAAGTTTTGAAATACTGCGATACAGGAGGGTGTAGGGTAACACCGGTACACCCCCCAACCCATCTCTAATTTCCAATCAAATACCTGTGCCTCTCGTACCAAATAGTGTGAGGTGCCCTATAGATTTTTTCATAAAAATTGGTACAATATTTGAGTTATCTTGATAAAATGTACCATGTTTCAAAACAAGAGGTATAGGCTTGTGATTATTTGATACAAATAAAAAAACATTTCGAAACTGGTGGTAATACGAAGAATAGAATATGATGGTACACTTTTGAAAACAAACAAATAGTTTTATTTTTGTGTACTGATTTTAAGACTCCAGTACCGGGTCGTTACGAAGTCTGTACAAATCTTAAAACGACTTTTGTTGTCCCGCGCTGCAGTAAAAATGGCGAAGGAGGAAGGGAGGAGAGGGAAGAATATGTTGAGGGAGAGTAATGTTGGGAGGACGGAGGGAGGAGGGAGAGTTTAGAATCAGGATATAATGATGCTGGTATCTACACGCCCTTTCGCGTGGCTGCATGCTAAGAATGTATGGCGTTTGTGCCTTTCAGTTCGAGGAAGACTCTTGCTCCCGTACAATGGCGGGTTGCTTGGCATAGACCATCGATGCGTTTTGCAAGTTGAGGGTAAAAATGATCTAGCAGGAAGCAGACACCTGATGTCTTAAAGCGCTTTGATCGGTGTGCTGCTGGGCGAGAGTCATTCCTTGTGCAGTACTTTTTGTTCGTGACGTGACTAGACCTGCCGTCGCAATGTTGCCTGTTGTTGACGATTTCATGCTGTGCAGAGCAAGCTGCTGCAATGTTCGTGCCAATGATTCCCAGGTAATGACAACTGCATGACTAAAACTAGAAAACTGAACTTCAGGACAGCGAGGTGTGATCGCCCAACACCGGAACTGCTGTTATCTTCGGAAGGACTACTTATCATTATTCAGCTCTCTGAAACTTGCCGAGAGGGCATATGAATCAGCAGCAGGGGGTACCAGGTCAAGGTGCAGGCAACATGCAATCAGGCCTTGCTATGCAGATGCAAGCGAATGTACAAACATCCCAAATGATGCAGCCAGGTATGAACGTCTCTGGGAATGTTGGATTGCAACAGCCTGGCATGTCAATGTCGAATTTTCCTGCTCAATCAGGCTTCGAACGACTTGGTTCTCTGGTCGGCAACATGCAGGATGGCTTCACTAGGACTGGAAGTTCCTTCAACTCAGGGTTCGACCGACTGGGATCCAGCTCGGGTACCTTCGACAGAGTCCCTTCTGCAGTGAACCCCAACAACTTTGAGAGATTATCATCAGCAGTCAATCAGAATCAGCCCATCGACCGGCTGACGTCGATACCGCAGAACACTTTTGAAAGAGTGGTGTCAACTTCACATCAAGGGCAGTTTGAGAGGATAGGATCAGCGTTTCCTAACTCTCAAGGCGGACAATTTTTCAACCCCGGCTTTGATCGCTTGGGATCCATATCTGGGTTTGACCGTCTTGGATCAATAAGCATACCAAATCAAAATCCTGTAGACAATCTCAATGTCAACAACATGAATGATCCCAATCAAATGGGAAAGGGAAATATCTTTCCCCTGCAGAACAATATGGGTGGCCAAGGACAATTCACCAGGACGCCTTCGATTGGAATACCAGGACAGTTTCCGACATGGCTCGGAAACTCAGGACCAGGAGCAAATGTTTCCTCCATCAAGCCTGGAGTGGGGAATTCCGCGGGTGGACCGGTGTGTCTGTTGACACAGTTCACCTCAGCAGTCTAATCCTTACCGGTTACAGATGTCCAACCCAACTGGTGCTGAGTGGGGAGCTTTGCAGCGGACGATGAGCAGTGGCAACAATGCTTTTGGTCGAACAGCATCGGTGAGCGTCTGCCTGTTGTGCTGTCAAGGTCGGGCAGCCGTGTAATGGTGGTTAACCAGAGTGGATTCATCATGCCTGGCGACTTTGGTCCAGACAAGTCTCTTGCACCGGTAAGGATCTGAAGCTGTCGTTGCCAGTGCTCTGACATTCTTTTTTAGTGGGATACGGGTATGGGCAATGATGGAATGTGGATGGGAGGGATTCAAAACTTTCAGTCGCACATGCCTCCGGTACTTTGCAGCAATATACATTCATGGCCTGGTTGTATGACGTTGGTTTTCGGGAAAAGGGCATGCAACAACCCTCCATGCATCATTTTCCACAGCAGGTGGTTGAGCTTTTGTGTAGTTGTAAATTCGACTGACGTCCTGAGCAGGGCATGCAGGACCCGCAGATGCAACAGATGCAGGTGGAGGGAGCAGATGTGCACGTGCTGTCAGAGACTGATAATTGTTGTTGGACAGGGAATGCAGAATCCTGGAAATCTTCAGGTTAGAAAGACCCAGATTCCATAAACATGAGCTGATCGAATGGGCAGGTTCCCTTTCAGAATCAAAGCATGCCATCGAATGGCTTGTACAACAACATGGGGGATAAGGTGATAAAACTGGAACTCAATCGCCCGGGATTCATTCAACGATTTACAGATGGGCATGCCAAATGATGATTTCGAAGATAGAAAAGGAAAGAAGGTGAGATGAGATCTAGTTTTGTTTTTTTCCTCGGGATACCTGAAGTGTGAATGTCAGGGACGTAAACGAGGCAAAGGTGGAAGGGATGACGATGACGATTCGGTTGGATAAGGACAAAGCTCTTTGCGGCAAGTAACATCTTGACCAGAATGGCATGCACAAGAGCCAGAAGATGCGTGGGGATTCGGACATGAACGATGGGGTCGGGGGAGACGTGAGTTGCTGTTCCCAAAGAACGTATGATGTGCTCTGACGCTGAGCCTCCAGGGATTTGAAAAGCACAATCAATTTCTATGGGCCAAACGCATGGGGCAGCAGAACGAGCCTCGTTGGGGGCTGTTCAAACAGGTTTCCTCGTCCTCGTATCCCCGGCATGTCGCTGAGCAGTAGGGGCGGCAGGGAGGGAGCGCAGGGCCAGCATTCTTGAAGCTGTTGGAGGATCTCGAGAAGGATGGAGTGATTGAGAGACACTTGGATGCGAGAGTGCCGGAGAATCTTGGAGGTCAAGATATGAAACCTCACGTGTGACTCGCTGAGAGAGATGCTAGGTGTGTGTGGATGGACGGTGAAGGAAGGGATGATGGACGAGTGGCAAAGGAGACGACAGGTCGAGGCGCTGCTCGCCAAGGCCAGTCACACTGACGTCCTTTCAGGCATGGTTCATGGAGGGCAAGGAAGGAAAAGAGTGAGTAGAGATTGTTTTCCCTTCGCCGCCTCACCTTGTCGTCAGGTACAAGCCGAACTCTCTCTATCAAATCATGAGGCGGCTGGGCTACTTTCCTACCATGAGGAGCAGGTGAGGACGATGTCTGTCGGCTTAGGAGGCAAATGACGTGGCTGTAGCCGAGCTGGCCATGGACACGACTTCGAGGGGAGCAGTGTTTTCCGATGGGACCCGGTGAGGTGGAGGAGCAGGGAGGAAGGAGGGAGTGACGTCGATGATAGGACCGTCGATATACGCAGAGACGGACAAAAGCAGGCGAAGGGAAGGGTCGCGTGATGGACTGAGACAGGAGCTGCTGCTGTAGATGGGGATGATTGATCTTGGAGAAGTTTTATATCCCTTGCTGTTTCACAGGGACTGGTCTGTGAATGCGCCATGTGTCGATATGTTGCATTTTAATGAGTTATCAAGATTGTAACCTAAAACTCCTCCTCCTCATCCTCCTCCTCCTCCTCCTCCTCCTCCTCCTCCTCCTCTCTCATCTTCCTGTCAACGCTGATCCTTCCCCACCTTCCTCCTCTGTCCCTTTCATGTTTCTGCTTCCTTCCCGCTTCCTCCTGCAATGCCCTTCCCCTCTTATCCGACTAGCTTGACACTCGGAACGGATCATCCTTCTTGAGGACCACCACCTGCTGCTTATGGGCGATGTACCCCTTCACCATCCCCTGGTGGATCAGGTTGGCCAGCATGCACTCCACCTGCTCCTCGTCATCGCCCAGCCATCACACTCCCTAGCACAGCACCTGCTGGGGGTCGGCCTCAGCCCCAGCAGCTTTGACGGCGCACACGAGGACGTCGAGCTTGATCTGAGGACCGCAAGTTGAGTTGAGACCCAGCAAGGGCCGAGCTGTGGAGCACCTGATTGTTGGCTGGCTTGACGACATGATAGGCCTTCTTGAAGAGGTTGCGATACCTGACAGGCGTCAACCCCAGCACAAGCGTGTCAACTTGACGACTTACACGCAAAGCTTCAGCTTGTGGAGGAGGATGTAGATCGCCTTCTGCACGAAGAAATCCTGCGAGGAGGAGAGTCAGCAGCTGCTCCCTCCCTTCGCCGCTCAATGCCACCTGATGCTCCTCCAAGGCCTCGTCGAAGAGCCGAACATCGCCATTGCGAAACGCCAGCACGAGCTTCTCGAACTGTTGCAACTTATACCTGTAGGGGCAGGTAAGGAGCATGCCGAGCTCTGGAGCGGGTCCCACTTGTCCAGCAAGGCCTTAGCTGGCAGCGCAGCTCTCCTGGTTGGGGAGGGACGACTCTGGTAGAGGATCAGGCGGACGGGGATGAGGTAACTGCGAGCATCCGGGTAAGGCAGTCACGAGGGCATGCTGAGGGAGAAGACCTCAGGATCAGCCTGCGGTTGGTCACGTGGTTGGCAGGGCAGTTGTTGAAGGCGAAAGAGAGGTCCTGCTGGAAGTCAGTCCGGGAGCCTCTCGACCCATCGGCAATCTCACGGTCTCAGCCTGGTCGAAGCGACTCTCCATCAACGCCATCCTCCCTTGGAAGAAATACCACGTTATCCTGCACATCTCATCGTCAGACCCCACCTGCCCCTGCCCCTCCTCTTCGCCCTCCTCGCTTGGTGCATCACCTGTCTGGCGTGGGATACTCGTCGAGGGACAGCATGGGAGGAAGCACAAGAGACTTAACGTGTTTGAGCGTGTTGAGCGCGAAGAACACCTCGGAAATCTGTCAGCTCGACTCCTCACACCAGCTGTCATAGCGCACCTTGTTGCATTGATTTGCCACAAACAAGGCTCCGTGAGTCCTCGACATGTCCCTGTCATTGTCTTCGTCCCGAAGCTCCTGTCCCACCACCATCACATGTCGGACCTCCACCTCTCAGCCAGCAGGACCTGGGCCAGGCTCTTCCTCATTATCCTCCCAGCTCCTGATCAACCAACGATGAGGAACATCCTCCCTCTCCTTCCTCTCCCTCCCTTCCCTCCCTCCCTCCCTCCCTCTCTCTCCTCCCTCTCTTCCCTCCATCCCTCTCTTCCCTCCCTCCCTCCCTCCCTTTCTCTCACCTTCCAGCTTGTTTGCTTCGGTAGCCTTGCCCTCCGATCTAAGTTGCTTGTCTGCCTGTCGGGGTCGTGTGTGAGAAATGAGAAAAGCAGCGAGGCGAGAAACAAGAGAGGAGGGGGGGTGGGAGGGGGAGGGAGGGAGAGCTTCTGCATCATCACAGCAGCTTTGGTAATGGCAGTTGTGGTGATGATGATGACATGTGGACCAGGAGGAGGAAGGGTAGGGAGGGTAGGGAGGGTAGGGAGGGGAGGGAGGGGAGCAGGAGCAGGAGCAGGAGCAGGAGCAGGAGCAGGAGCAGGAGCAGGAGGAGCAGGAGCAGGAGCAGGAGCAGGAGCAGGAGCAGGAGGAGCAGGAGCAGGAGCAGGAGCAGGAGCAGGAGGAGCAGGAGCAGGATGGGGGAGGTTACCTGATATCCAAGTCGTCGCAAATCGATCAGGAGAACCTTGAGCACTGGAAGCCACATGCGGTTGAAATTCTTGAACAGTCGCATGAAGGACTAGATAACAGTCAGTTAGCCAGCAGGCAAGTCAAGTCAAGTCAAGTCAAGTCAAGTCAAGTCAAGTCAAGTCAAGTCAAGTCAAGTCAAGTCGAGGCAATCAGATCGGCTCGCTCACCTCTACTGCTGCCTCTTGATGGGTGTATGCCTCCGCCAGGTTCCCGTCGCGCTTCCCTAGCGAGGCCTTCACAGCGTGGCAGACAACTTCTGCCCAATCCGCTTGCATCACCCGCTCGCACTCTCCGAGGACTCCCTGAGAGAACCAAGTCACTCACGTCGCGATTGGGAGTGTCTTCACCTGATAACTTCTCGTCGCCATGTACTGCACGAACTGCTGCTTGTTGGAATCCCTTGAGGTGAGGGCGAGGCGAGAAGCGACGGCAGTCGCATTGTTGGATCTGATCAGAGCGGCGATCTCTCGAGGATACCCTGACATGGTTCTGATACTACCTTGCTCGCTCCTCTTCTGAGGATACAGATGTGTTGGCTTTGCTCTCCTCTCCTCTCTGACTTGCTGAGATTCGAAGGCCTCACTGCGGTTCCCTCTTCTTCCTGCTATGTTCCCTTCCCCTCGTTCGCCTTTCTTTCTTCTCCCTTCAGCTCTCTTCCTCTCTTCCTCTCTTCCTCTCTTCCTCTCTTCCTCTCTTCCTCTCTTCCTTCTTCTTCTCTCTCCCACTCAGTATCTCCCTCCCTCACTCTTTCTCCCTCCTCCCCTCTTCTCTTCACAGAGCATGCGCTCTCAACTATGTATCATCCCCCTCGTACCCGCCCCCAGTCGGGCCCCCGGACAGGCCCCCGGATCCGACGGCCCGGCGGGCCCGGCGGGCCCGGCTGATTGACCGTACCCGGTGCGAGTCGGTCGGACCGCCGGGGCGTCCGATACGGTCCGGGGCGATCTGCAGTGCGGGCGGCCGAGTCCGTCGGAGCCCGACGCAGTGCCGACCTTCCGATCGACTCCCGACGCCCGCGGCTCAGGTCCGTACGGTCAGCGGACTGCGGCGCCCGGTACGGCCGTACCGCCCGGCCCCCCCGGCCCCCCCGGGGATCGGACGGGCGGCGGGCAAACGGAAGTTCGGCGCGAGGCTCGACTTTTGACCGTTACTGTTAGCCCCCGAGTCAGTTATTAAGACGTTACATCCCCTCAGCGGCCGTTACACATGGGTTAAAACGGCGCAGTCACACCTCTGACGTCTCCAATGCCAAAGAGGGGGTGGGGTAACTACCCCTACCCTACATCGGAAATACCCACGGTTCAAAATCAGGTCCGAAGTGTACGACTGATCGGTCAAGTACCCCACACTTGGATAACATTTGCCCGCTTTCATACTACCCCCACCCCCAAGGAGGACAAACCTTTCAAAATCACCGGGTACAATGAAAAAACTGAAAAAAAGAAAAAAATCTTTCAAATCATCAGAGGCCCTCGCTTTCCCACCCCACCCCACCCTTGTCCCTGAACACAACCCCACTCTGTTTCTGTTGCCACCCCCTTTTGAAAGATCACCCCACCTCATTCGAGCAGTACCCACGTCATTTCATTTGATTACCCCTTATTTATAGTCATATATTTTTCATTTTGTAGGGGTCATGACAGTACCTTGCACGCTGTCTATTCACCCCACCCCTTCTTTTCTTACTACCTCACCCTACTGATTTGAATGCTGTGGACCACCACCCCACATTTGCTTCTTGCCTTCGAGACCGCCAGGAATGTCGGACGGGGAGGCAGAGCTCATGGCCCGGGACGCGGTGGAGGCCGACGCGGAGATGCTGCCGAGTGTTGGGATGATGGAGAGCGATAACTACAGAGAGGCTCCTCTCTCCTCCTCCTCCTCCTCCTCCTCCCTCCTCTCGCAGTCCTTGGAGGAGCTAGAGGATGAGTTCAACCGGCATGAGGTAGAGATTACCTCCTCCCTGTTCCTCCACCTCCATGTGAAAATTTCCTTTGACGTCCAACTTCCCCTCTCGAGTCTGTCAAATCCTGCATCCTTGACTTCCTTTCCCTGTATTCTCTGCTCCCCTGCTCACGTTCCAACGTGGACTATAAGAAATTCTATCAGCAGCCCACCCGCTGTTTTATGAGAGTTCTGACCTGGATGCGTCAACCCGCAGCTCCTGCGCATCCCTGGACTTGTTGGCTCCCTCATCAACCTTGTGAAGAAGACGTCCGAGTCAGAGAGCTCCCTCACGCTGCAGCTCAACACCCAGGACGTGTCTGAGCCCGTGATGCAACAAATAAAGCTGATAGAGAATCAGTACGTGCTTCCTCACGCTTGAAGGTTTCATGCTGAGCTCTCTTACAGATTCAATTCCGAGAAGTGCAAAGTCGATCAGGTTCCCTCCCTCCCTCCCTCCCTCCCTCCCTCCCTCCCTCCCTCCCTCCCTTCTTCCCTCCTCCCAATGCTTCATGCCACCCGTCCCTCTCTCCCCTGCTCCCCTGTTTCACTGGACCCGGACACGATGCAGCTGAGTTTGTCCATCTGTTTTCAGGTCTGCGAAGACGTCTGCCAACGGATGCGAACCATCCTGAACTCGCAGAGGAAGACGAGGCATGTGTCAGAGCAGGTACCGCGATGCCTCACTTGCTCCATGAAGATCGATGACCCTCGGACCTCTCAGGAGGAGAACGTACATTGCCAGGCCATCCAGGCCAAGTTCCAGTCTGTGAGGCTTCTCCTGCGAGACAGGCATGCGGCGGCCCGGCACAAGAGACTCTGATCGTCTTCCCACAGGTACCAGGAGTACGTCAACGACTGTCTGAACCAGCTCAACCTCAACCCCGACGGGTCTGTCTCTCAAGTTCCTAGCGCAAGCCCGCACAAGCTCATCAAGTGAGATCTGTGCCAGCAGCTCTCGCGCTCCTGATCCCTGCTCGGCCCAGGCTCTCCGCTGGCAGTGCGGGCGAGTCAGGAAATGACAGTCAGCCGAGGAGGAAACGAGAAAATCTCCCGAAGCGCGCGATTGAGAAGCTGCTGGAGGTATGGAGGAGAGGGAGAGAGCTTTCTGTGTGCATCTGACCCTCCTTGCAAGTGGTTGAACCAGCATTGGGGGCATCCGTACCCTTCTGAGCAAGAGAAACAGGTTGGAACCATCTCTGCTTGTCCTCCTTGTGCCTCAACTTGCTGCAGACGCTGGCGGACGCGACTGGGCTGAATGTCATGCAAGTGAGCAACTGGTTCATCACTCACGAGTCCGTATCTGGAGGTGCGAACTCGCGTACATATCTCCTTGCTGCACACTTGTCCTGCCCTCCTCTACTCCTCTATCCCCTCCTCCTCCTCACCTGTCCTGCTCGCTCCCCTGGCCGACTCAATCTTCCTTCCCTTACTCTCTTTCACAGGCCCGAGATCCAGAAGCAAGCAGAAGCAGTGGTGTCGAAGCAGCAGAGCGCCTCTGCGGGCATGGGCTACGCGCTGCAGATACAGAAAGGTGACGTAGACGCGTCGACGGGGGGGGCTGCACTGACAGGGAAGCTGTAGGACTGAGAGGCTCCGTCCAGTTCCCTAGCGCCACGGACGCTCCTGGTGAGACTTCCAACGCCAGCTCGGAGGTCAGTCGCGCAATCTCCTGACATCCTTGCTGAGCCAGACTCGCAGGATGGTGGGCAGGTTGCGTCCAGGTCAGGGGAGGCTGAAAAACCTGCCAGGGATGGTGGAGAGGAGGTGAAAGCAGGAGCGGAGGCGGAGGAGAAGAAGGCAGAGGTCAAGGAAGCAAGTAGCAAGGAAGCAGATGCAGCGGGCAAGCAGGAGCAAGGGGCGAGTGATCGCAAGAAGGAGAGCAAAAGTGAGCAGAAGCACAAGTCGGACGAGCAGGGCAGGGGGAAGGCCAAGACACAGGAGGAAGCGCAGGAGGACGATCAGTCAGGGAAGAAGGCCGAGGAGAGTGGCCCCGCCCAGAACGGGAAAGAGGAGGCCGGGAAGAGCAAGACGCGGTCCAAGTCCGCAAGCAAGCAAGCAGAGCCAGCGGCCAGCCCAGTCGTCAAGTTGCGGCCAAGGCGCTCGGTGATGTCACAGGCGCCATCTGCTGTTACTCACGGCTGGACTTGCAGAAGGCTGAGAGCCACGAGGAGGAGGAGGAGGAGGAGGAGACGAAGCCTGCAGCCGCCAAGAAGGTTGCGAGGCTGCGGCAATGCGAACGCTGACGTGAGTTTGTGCAGCGGAAAAAGGAGGAGGAGGCGAAGGTGGAGCAGAAGGGGCAGGGGAAGGGCACTGGTGCTCGCAAGGGCAAGACAAGACGGAGCTAGAGGACGCGACTAGTCACGGGGCGTGATATGTACCATGTGATCAGAAGAGCAGGAAAGGTGTCGCCCCCATCCCCCTCCCCTCTCCCCCATTCCCCCGAAGAAAGAATGTTGTCAAGCAATGAGTTGCGAGATTGTTTATTATTTAAAAGATGATAACATACATGAACATGTCGGTACCTTCCCTCCCTAGCTCCCTGCCTGATCGCTCTTGAACTCCTGCACCGCTTCCTGCACCTGCGGATCTCGTCAGTCCTATCTCCTCCTCCGGCCCCCTCCTCCTGCCCCCATCCCCTCCGCCCGCCTCCTCCTTTCCTCCTCTGCCTCCTTCTGCCTCTTCCCCCGTCACTCACTATGAGCTTCTGCAGCTGCAAGTCTGCGTCCTTCGGGATGCGAATCTGCTCGATGGCAGCCAAGACCTGAAGTGCCGGGTGACGTCAGCAGGAGGAAAGACGAGCGAGGAGAGCGAGGGTAGGTAGGAGAGGAGGAGAGAGCAAGGGAGTAAGAGAGGACGGAGCAAACGAGCGACGTAGAATTTGGAAGGGGAGGAGTGGGATGGAGGAGGGAGGATGGAGGATGGAGGAGGGAGGAGGGAGGAGGGAGGAGGGAGGAGGGAGGAGGGAGGAGGGGAAGAAGAGAAGATATTTGGAGTACCTTCTGCTCCGAGGGGAGCTCATCAGCAATGTTGCCAAGGAGGATTTTCAGAACGTCGTCTGACTCCTTGGCCTTGAGGCTTTAGAGAAATCAGAAGCTGATGATGAGAGGAGGGGAGGAGACAAGAGGAGAGGAGAGGAGGGGAGAGGAGAGGAGGGGAGAGGAGAGGAGAGGAGAGGAGGGGAGATGAGAAGCAGGAACTGAGTTCATGATGACCTTGGGGACAAAAGTTTGAGCATCCCGACAGCAACTCTGTTGATTTCCGTGAGATAAAAGGCAGGCAGAGGAGAAGAATGAAGAGAGGAGGGGGGAAAGCAAAGGAGATCAGAGCAGAAGACAAGGAAGCGTCAGGGGAGCGAGGGGGCAGCAGGAAATGACAGTGCTGCGAGGAGGCGAAAGTGAAGAAGGAGAGGAGCAGAGGACCTGTACAAGAAGATTTCGCCCTGCGAGAAGTTTCAATGCCGAGAAAAAAGATGCAAGGGATGAGCATGCCGGGAGGAAGGCAGCAGAAAGAGTAAAGATAAGGAGGAGGATGGTGAGGAGGAGGAGGAGGAGGAGGAGGAGTGGCGGGGGGCGGGGGGCGGGGGAGGAGGAGGAGGAGGAGGAGGAGGAGGAGGACCTGAACGAGGTAGATGTCCCACACGCGAGCGCACAGGGGCACAGGGAGCTGCTTGGCGAAGAGAGTGACAAACCAGAGGCTAACGTAGAGATCGGATCGAATCTGAAGGAGCGTGAGGGACAGCCCGGGAGGCGGGGAGAACAAAATACTCACCTCGAGGGAGTCAAAGAACTTGTAGAGGTCGTGGAGGTTGAACTGTAAGGGGTAAGGAGGGAGGAGAGGCAAGGCAGGTCGACCTGGAAGATGCGATCGAAGATCTGCATGCGTTGGAGGAGTGAGTTGGAGTTGTTCCTGCAGGTAGAGCCGTGAGGAGCGGGTGGTGGTGAAGGACTAGGAGGAGAGTGAGCGGAAGTGACGCGGGGGAGGGGAGAGAGGGAGAGAGGGAGGGAGGGAGAGGAGAAGGAGGAGCAAGAGGGGAGCAGGAGCAGCAGAAGCAGCAGGAGGAGCAGGAGGAGGAGGGGAGAGATTTCTCACCGGTAGAAGCATTGAAAGAAGGGTCGGGAGATGAGATTTGCAAGACACGTGAAGGCGGCAAAATCGTCGTTACAGTGCAGGACAAAGATCGCCGCCTGAGCTGTGAGAGTGAGTGAAAGGCAAGAGGGTGGGGCAGAAGAAGAGGATGGCAACACGCGAGCACAAGGCGGAGGAGAGCGAATGCTGGCAGAGACGAGGAGGAGCACGACAGGAGAGGAGGGAGGGGAGGAGACGATCGATGTGGAGGATTGAGGGACCTGAAACGACATGCCTTGCACGTATCCAACATCCGGGCGGTAGTAACAGTAAGCTTCTGGAGTGAAATATCAGACACCGGAGACAACCATGAGAAGGGGAGAACGAAAGATAGGTGAAGCCAAGACAGTTTGAAGAAAGAAAGGGGAAAGAAAAGGAAGAGGTGGGAGGCAGAGAAGTGAAGGAAAGAAGGAGATGAGTAGAGAAGGACGGAGAAGCGAGGGGAAAACAAACGAAAGGAAAGAAGGGGATAGGAAGGACGGAAAAGGAGAGGGAGCGAAGGGAAGAGAAGGGGGAAGGAGGGACGGGAAGTGAAGGAGGGGGGGTCACCTAGGACGTCGCGCAGCTCATCGTAGAAAGGACCTGAAGGGTCAAAGAGCCCCAGGTGCGAGAGAGTCCTTGACAGGTCCGTCTGTTGACTCACGTCAACGTCACGAGTCAAGGAGGTGGCGGGTCAACCTGTACAAGCTTCGCGCTGTCCTCCCGGCCCAGGAATATCCCCCCTGCCATAAGCAGGCGTGAGAGGAGCAGAGGACGGGCCCTAGAGGATAGGATGGGTGGGGGGAAGGGGGGCAAGGCGGAGGAGGATGGTGGGAGACTGTAGGATGCAGCAAGGGACTAGGGCAGAAGATCAGCGGCGTCCACGGATCGTGCAGGGAGCTGCAAGGAAGCAGCTGGGCATTCGGCCGTTACCTTCCTTCCTCAATGTCCGCGCCTGCCGTGAGGTGAGGGAACAGGGCGACGAGTCTCCTCACCGTACCTTGAGCTTGAGGATTGAGTAGAGGTCGCGATTCAAGTTGAGATTGTTGCCAATGGAGAGGGGCCAGATGTAACTGCGAGCGAAGGCACTGATGCCATCATGCACCAGGAGCGCGAGGGCCTGGGGGGAGGGAGATGACAAGAGTTGACATGAAGCTCCTCCTCCTCCTCCTCCCTCTCACCTGACGCTTCCTTGGGCTCTTGCTCACATCCCCTCCTGTTTGCTCCCACTGTGGCAACTGGGGACAGAGGGTTCAGGGAGTGCATCAACTAGTCTTCCCCCTCCTCCTCCTCTTCCTTCCCTCCTCTCTTCTCTTACCATCTCATGCAGCCAGTATGCACATCCTCGCCAGAGAGAGGGGTCCGGCCTCCGCGGCAGATCGTCTTGAGAAGCACCATGCGCAGGCCTGTCAGGGGAGGAGAACGAGGAGGGATGGCTGCCGCTTGCTTCACTCGCGTGACCCTTGATGCCTTCGGAGTGACGGGGATGGGGCTGCTGGTAATCACGCGGCCTAGGAAAGCAGACAGCATCTATCTCGTCCCTCTCCTCCTCCCTCGAGTCGAATTGAGCTCGAGGGGACAAGAAACTCGCTCTCTGCACAAGCAACGAAGGAGTTACTCGATATATATAAACATCAACCGTTATCTGCTGACCGGCAGAACGTCCCGAGCATAGGAATCGATCTTGACGCTCCTCTGATAGACCTGCCTTGACCTTTCATCGCCTTCACTCTCACCGTTCCTATCATGAGTGGTTTCCATCATGACGTTGGCAGTTTTTGAGGGCGTTGTGAAGTAGCGGATGAGATCAGGATGGAAGATATGATCGACCCTGACCTCTACCCCTGTCTTCACTGAGTTCCGAGGAGTGTTCTCTCCGAAGAGCGAAGAGAAGAAGTTCCCTGGCGCCTGCGAGGCAATCTTCTCGAGCATCGACTTCTGGCTCGGATCAGGCTTGTGGAGCATGTCCAGCGAGATCGGCCGGTTGTTGTAGCGGAGGTTGTTCATCTCGAAGAAAGCACGGAAACAAGGCAAGACTGTCACTCCCGGGATCGCCATCAGCTGATCGAGGTACGCCTGAAGGTCCTGCAGCCTGCGCTCCACAACATCACTGAAACTAGCAGTCTTGTTGAACTTGAGCGAAAAGATGCGCGGCGGCAGGAAGGGGACGTCAGCATTCACAAAACCACGGAAGGATCGCTGGAGACGGATGTGAAACATTCGAAACTGATTGTACCGTCGCTCGATGGACCAGGACAGTGCAGCATACCTTACAAGCACGCGGTAGAAACGAACTCCTTCGCGGACTTTGACCAGGTCGATGGTGGCATTCATCATGCCAGGGGTCTCGCTGGAGTTTTCTCTATGATAAAATATCGGGATGTTCTTTGCTACCGAAGGAGGGAGGCTCTCCATGTGCTCCCCATCGCACGTCACCAGCCCGGAAGCATGCATCATCTGCAGCTCCGACACCAAGTCAAGTTTCTCGCGCGATTCGCTGTGCGATGAGTCCGACAGAGGTTGGGATGGAGAAATCTCCTTGTCCTCACTGAGAGAAAAACTGACCGAAGACCGTTCCAGTTCTTCTCCTTCGTCCAGAGTTCTTCCAGGCGCCAACGACGCTTGAACGAGGGTCACTCCCCATCCGCACGATACCTGCTTCACTATCTTGCCTTGCAAGGCTGAGACCACCTGAAAGCTCATCAGGTGCTGAACAGATGCATAGTCCTCCCAGGGAGCAAACCTTGGCACAAAGAATGCTGCTGCGATTCCCATGGCCGAGTTGACCCCAGTCACCCCTTCCCCATGTGAGCAAAGTCCCGTCATTTGTAACGGCAGCCGTGTGCGCCCCTGCCGGAGATCTCAGTCGACTTGACTTCCGTGCACTCAGTCCAGCAGGCTGGAGGCACAGACCTCCGCAAGATACTTCAACGATGTGAAGGTTTGCATCGGCCATGGACTTCACGAGGACGGGTTCCAAGTGCGATTCTGCTAGCACCGTTACTCAGCCGTCAACGTCAGCCTCGGATTTACCTGTGGAACCGACTCCAAGTTGGCCGTGCTCGCCCAAACCCCAGGTCCAGACCGTTCCATTCTCACAACAGACAGCGGAGTGATCGTATGACCCGCTAGCCATCATCGCTTTCATCCTGATTCTGTAAAGGCGATCGACGAATCTCGGCCTCCAGACATCCAGGACGTTGCCATGCCCCAGCCTTCCCGCGTTTCCACATCCCCACGTAAAAAGCTTCAAGTGAAACAGATCAGAAGAAGAGAAGATCAAAACCAACAACAAAGATCGGGTCTACCTTGCCATCGTCGTCGATCGCCATCGAATGCGTCCACCCCGCAGCGATGAAGGTGATCCTCTTACTTTCAAGGGAGGCGATGGGCTGAGGAAGCGAATAATTTCGACAGTTGCCGTGCCCAAGACGCCCGTTCGCGCCATCTCCGAATGAGAAGACCTTTCCCTCTTTAGACAGCAGCAGAGTGTGCATCCCCCCGCAGGACGCAGAGACGACGAAGACGTTTGGCAGGTGCAGCTCTGATGGCAGAGACCAGAGCCTCGAATACTGCTTCCATGAAGATACAAGGTGTCAGAAACACGACAAGGATCCAACTTCAGGCAGCATCCACCTGTACATTCCCTCCTAACGTCGCTTGACCTCTTGAGGCGGGTGGCAAGCTGGCTTCAGGCTGCTGTACACCAAGCTGCCCTTTGAGATTGCATCCGAACGCCAGAGCAATCCCTTCCGCGCATACCACAACTGTGTGCGCTCCTCCACAGGAAACTAGGTGGGCACGATTCCCGCAGTAAGCCTTGATAATGGAGAGTGCCCGCAAGACCCTGGAGGGAGGGAGGAAGAATCAGCAACCTCAACCGACATCCTCTCATGACTAGTGACTTCACCTCGGACGGGGAGTGGGGGAAGTGACCGACGTGTTGGTGGGATCGACGAACCTCCCGCTGATATCCAGAGAGTCTACGATCAGCCCGAGCCCCATCTCCTCAAACCTCGTCGCCAGCTGGTTCTTCCCTTTGTGGCTCCCCAGCTCTACGTCCCTGCCTAGCTGACCGAAGAAATTGGCACCCCAGGTGTAGACGTCCCCGAGGCCCGACACCAGCGCGGCGTGATACGGCCCAGCTGCAAGATGCGCCATGTTGAGATGCGAGACCTGCGGCAATGATCAGGCGCTCACGGGAGGATGGGTGCTGGCAGCACCGACTGGACTTCACGCGGAGTTAGCTCCTCGTCCTGCCCACGACCCTCGGAGTCTCCCAACCTCCCCATGATCCACATGGAGCAATCGTTGGGATCCCGCACCGTGTTCTTGTGGGCGATCGTCACCATCAGCTGCCTCTTCGCCTGTCGGGCCTCGCTCCCCTCTGACGCTTGCATGATCCTCAAAGTTCAGATCCTCTTGTCGATCGGACTACACTCATCGTCTTCCCCAGATCACTCAGTGCTGTCATGGGAAGCACGTGTGTTCCATGCTGTCGCTCCCAGCCGGGCAGGCATGGCGGGAATCCTTGTGTGTTGCCTCATTTGCAAGAACGTGGAGCAGCAGCGAGGTTAGCTCTTATCGAAACTTCGATGCATTGCAGAAGCTCTGCTCTCCTGCCATCGCCGACCTCGCAGGCCGCCCATCCCTCGCCTTTATCGCCATTCCACATGCCACTCGCACTACAGTCGCTAGGGAGGAAAAAGAATTGTAAATCCTAAAACAAGATATTATAAAAAGCAAACATAACTTTTAATTCACTCTTATTTGTACTCAATTGGCAATCGATCATCGTATTACTACCAAGATGTCAGATAAAATGATATTTTGGTACTGATTTGTTGTACTCAACCAATCCCTTGTACTGCAATTCAAACCTGATCTCGTACTGTATTTATTAACATTTTAGTCTATGATCTCAATAAGGGGTCGTAAGCTGTGCTACCAAGAGAAGCTCTTTAAAATGATTGTTTTAGCTATGTTGAGTGATTCTTGTCCCAGTGCCGCACGCAGGGCCCGCCGACTCCGAACTCCGACGGCCCCGACGGCCCGGGTACTCCCAGGAACGGTTACGCTAGATATAGATGTAACGGAAATCTCGCAGAAGGGCCAGAAGGGAAGCTTGAAAGAGGGGGTAGGGGTGAAGGTGTTGCTCTCCAACTCCCAAGGGGGTGGTTCACTCAGTTAGACTTTAGGGGTAGTTCCCGGTACCATCCTAGGTAGACATCGGGGTATATTTTATCGAGGGGTGGGGTGAGTGAATCTGATTTTTCAGATTGCAGGGGGGTGGTGACAGTGATCCATTGAGGGGTAGTAAGAGACTCTCTTTGCAAGAATGGTGGTAGGGGTACATGCTTTCAGATTCCTGGTCAAAGGGTACCGTGTAAAGACCCCTCAGAGGGTCACTTATCTTGGGATCTAGGGAGGTAGGGTCACTGATTGAGTTCAATAGAATAGGTAGGGGTATACTGAAGAGGGGTTCATTGATTCATGGTAGGGTGTCATTGTAGGGGAGGAGGTTGGGAGGTGTCTCACGCAATAATGCGCGCTTCTCGTGCGAAGAGTTAAGCCATGTCGAGAAGAAGAGAGCGTCGGGCAGATGTATGAGGCTGGAAACATGATAGGATAGCCAATGAGAAGTCACCAAGAGTGAATGCTTGTACACACTGACAACTTGTCGACTAGTTGATGTGGTTTGCTCATTGATGCTTTAGATAGTCACACAGCTGATCTTGTTGCGACTTGACTTTCACTGGTCGCTCACAATACTTTCTCCGCAGATTCGTTGCCCCCGAGTCTGTGCTCGCGCCCATCCCAGCACTTGAACTGCAGTTGGTCTGTTTTTCAAACAGCGCTTGTTACCTGACTCATCAAGAATGGAAAGCGGTACTGCCAGCGCCAACTCGGAGGCCCCAACTCTGTGTGCCGGAGGATGTGGCTTTTTTGGATCACCACAGTTGAATTCATACTGCTCAGTGTGCTTCAAGAAGACGCATGGTGAGGAAGAATTCAAGAGGAGGACAGGAAAGGCTACCGATTCTGCATCGAAAGAAACCATTTCCTACGGCGAGGGTAACAGCAAGGGTGAGCAAATAGTTGCACGATCAGAAGCTTGCAATCAAGCTCCTGAGGTTAAGCAGGACGATGGAAAGGATTTGGAATGTAACTCAATCAAAGATGACTTGAAGGAGGAGGAGGATGCCAAGATAGAATCTGAAACTGCTGAGTGTGCAACAACAGCCGAAACTGCAGATGACGAGCCCAAAACAAAGAAGATGGCTACCATTCGATGCGAGACGTGCAAGAAAAAAGTTGGGCTGACGGGATTTCATTGTCGATGTGGAGGAACTTACTGCGGGACACACCGATACTCGGACAAGCATGATTGCACTTTCGACTACAAGTCTCTCGGTCGTGAGCAGGTGATTCGTTGATTCTTTGAGTTGAAATGTTGCCATGACGATGGTCTCTCAGCTGGCCAAAGCCAATCCAACAATCTGTCCAGAGAAGTTAGACAAGATTTGAGCGTTTGTGACAAATTTTTCAGCACCCACGGCGTCATACTGGCGCCTTCAGGAAGTTAGTGTGAATATTCTCTTGTTCTTTAGTTCTCTGATCCCGGATAGAATGTGTTCTGTGCCAGTGTGTTTACTAATATCTCAACTTGGTTTCGTATAAATCAAATATGAACTCTCAACAAAGAAAAACTGCCTCGCTACAGACTTTCATTCAAGGCTTCGCAAGATGTCAATGGTGGGTCGGACTTGGGAGTGAGTTGGGCAGGAGGATTTCGGATCAGAATGGCTAAAATCTCCGCGCTGACCTCGAACAGCAGACCAATAAATCCCACAACGGCAAGAGGTGTAGCAATGTCGGACAGAAAATTGTAGATACATGAAACCCCAGACGTGCACTGAACCTGAGGAAAACGCTGTCAACAAACTGCAAGAACAACAACGAAGATAGCCTTAGTGCTGTCACACTTCAAAAGAGCAGTACAACAGCTCAACTCTTCGTGGCTTCGTTGGAATTCACAATCTCCGTAAAATCTACACAGCGGATGGTAATAACTGACAACCGATCTCAGTCAGAGAAGAAATGTCCCAAGGAATTCTCACGTGTCTGTCGTTGAATCGTTGTACGATGATCCTTGTGACAGGACAACAGTAGTTTTTCCTATACAGTGATTCAAGACACGTCATGGAAACTGAACCCCAACTGCAGACCTGCATAACATTTTGCTGGGAAGATCGTAGAGAATTGACTCCAGTCGAACATCCTGAGAACAGTCGTCAGCCCAGATGTGCAAGACACAGCGAAGCCAGCAGGACCTCCCTGCAGTGCTGTCTAGCACGTCATACAATCCTCCTGCAACTGACGCGCTGCTTCCTGCGGATCGAATCAGCCCCACTTGAGCAACGGAGCTCGGGCAACCTGTCGCTACAGCAATAGCTGCGCACCCGAAGCAGAATTGCAACAAGATGACGAGCGGCATGGCAACAGCATAGCATGCTAGCTGTTTCCTGCTGATCCATATGGAGCCTGCACGGCCAGCAGTCAGCACGTCACTGAGAGTACCGCGAGGGAGACACCTGAGTACCCCAGGATCGCACACAGAAACAGCAGGACACCTATCACGATCACCCCTATCGACGGAGCTAAGAAGAAGTTCATGGGGATCGTTGACTTTGAGCTGCTTTCGCAGTTGCAGCCCACAACTTGTTCCGACGACTGCGCACATTCGTTGGAACAATATTGCTCCACCTTGGACGCGAACGCCTTGCCTGCATCGGGAGAATTTCATTCAGCCCAGCTAATTCAAATTTAAGCAGCAGCATTACCATATTGAAGAGTAGCAGACCCCACACCCATGAAGATGACCGAGAAGATGACGATAAACCCGTTCGAGATCCAAAAGAGCTTCCTATTCGTTCTGAAGCTAGCCATAGCTACAGAACGGCTTCAATTCCACTGAATCATCCCATGAGTAGCTTGATTTGTCTTCTGGTCCGTGGAGACCTTTGATCTATCATCTGTTTAAACAATCCATCTTAGTATCAGAAAGAAAGAAACATCTCAACTGGGGACATCTTTTCTGCACCTAGGAGATTTTTATCGATCACTTCAAATCAATCGCGTCTTATTTTTCAATAGGATGCGAAAGCATACCAAAAGTTGTGTATCTTTTTCAATGCCTTCATCTTCCTTCTTCACTGCCTTCAATACTCCTTTCCTCTCCTCCCCATTCTCCTCTCCACCCCATTCCCTTCCACTCAGAACAATCTTGTCGTGCTTTCCGCCATGTTTCAACGGTAAGTCCGCGAATGATGGGAGACCGTGCCGGCGCCGGGAAATTTTACGGCAGGCCGAGGGCTATCAAAAGATTTCCGTTATATTTCCCTCTCGTTTTGTAACGGAAGGATCGCTGCTCCGGGGGCCATGCAGGCAGCGCCGACAGTGATGGCGGCGATGCTGGTGCAAGTGGCAGGGGCGACGGCAACATGGCGAGCTCATCCCTTCTCTCCTCACTCAGTGTACATGAAAGACCCTTCTCTGCTCCCTCTCCCTACCTCCTCTCCGTTCCACTCGTTGTCTTGGCGCTCGTCGGACCTGCGGCTCAGGGGTGGCGGGGTGCCGAGCTTATCCTCGCAAGCCTCACGATTCGCAAAGTTCTACAGTGAAGACGGTCTGACTGATCTGCCGATGAATGCTTCCTTTGCCATGGGCTCCGGGAGCGGCGACGAATACCAGGAGCAGGACTCTGCTTGTGAGGGAGAGCTGAACGCGTGGGAAGTTGGAAAGCTGCAACTGGAAGCATGCCAGGACATCATGGATGACTGTTACGACCGGTGGATAAGACCATGTGTAGAAGAACTCGAGAACAGAATCTTTGAAGGAGAGGAGGAGGCAGCGCGGAAGGGAGAGTTCCGCCCCTACAACTTCTTTGCCAAGGAAGCCACCTCGATCATTCAGAAGTGCAAGATCGTGATAGACAAGGCGGTGAAGGACCTGCAGACGCGGCTCGAGGTCATTCAGTTCAGTGCGGTGAGGGGAGGGCAACCAGTCAGCAGCATCGAGTTTGAAGACTTCAACGTGGACCTCAAGCACGTCCGCCACCTGACCGTCGAGTCCCATCGGTACCCTGAGCCTCTCGCTTCCCTTGGAGGACGAGATGCTAACCTTGCGATCCAGAGAGCTGCATGCCACCACCGACAGGAACATGGACAGGCTGTGGCAGCAGGTGAGATGAGCTCTCGCTGCTCACAGCCCACCTGGCGCTGACGGCTGGTTGGGCAGCAAAAGGCAGTGATCAAGGACTACTACGTGGAGATGTTTGAGCGAGGGATCGAGTGAGAGCAGATCGGATTCTCAGGGATGGGAGGACTGAGACTCTTTGCCAGGAATCTCATCGCTGGTTCACGGCAGTTCAACAAGACCTCGTCCAAGCTGGCGAAGAAGGTAAGGATGGGAGGAGCCTGTGGGGTGTGACCGGTTTCCGTCGCAGATCTACAAGCAGTGCGAGCACGAGCTGAAGTTGTCTGTGCCCAAGAACGGGAAACCGAGTTTCTGGAACTACACGCAGGACCTTGACGACATGAAAGAAGTGAGGCATTGCGACTCCTGCGCCTCTCCTGCCCCGCGGCCTTCGACTGACCTGCCACAGGCGATGATGGCGTTGATTCAAGCCAGACGGCGAGAAGCAGGACTGGACGATCTTGTTAGCTACTTCAGTGAGCTGGTAGAGCTGGTGAGAAGGATGGGGTTGGGAAAGTGACTCGCGGCAGGACGATGGTCAGCGAATGTTCTCAAGAAAATGGTGGAAGAATCTATTGATCCGAGGAGTGATCACCTATTTCCAGATGTAAGACACGTTCTCCTTCTCCCTCTCTCCTCCTCCTTCTATCAATCCAGTTGTCTCTTGCCTCTCTCCATCCCCTCGGCTGATGGCCTCCGCGTGCTATAGCTGTCAGTCGGCCTGGGCGTACAGGAAGGCGAGGAGGATCATGCTCCCGCCGAGGTTCTCCAAGGTGACAAGACAGAGAGGAGGGAGAAGAGATGGAGGGAATGGTCTCATGGTTGCTGCAGGCATGGATGGCTGCCGTGTTCCTGCCTTGGACCTTCTCGCCCGTCACCCTGGGAGACGTTCGGCCTCTCGTCCCAGAAGTTGTGGAGACAGCAGCAGCGGAGAGGAGGGAGAACACAGGAGGTGATGGGGAAGGACAGGACGAGACCCACGAAGCTGCAGCGCAAGCACAGCATGAGAAGCCAGAGGATGGAAAGGAACGAGCGACTGAGGTCAGGGAGAAGGAGAAGCAGGTGGAGGAGAAGGCGGCGGCTGGTGAGGGCAAGGAGCACAAGGATGCGGATCATGGAGGCTCGACGGAGCAAGAAATCGAGTGAGACGACTGTGGCAAGTTGGGTGTACGAGCTGACCGTGTGCTGGCGCAGGCAAGAATTCAAGGATGGGCTGTCGAGTCAGAGTAAGCTTGAGGAAATCTTCAAAGAATAAACATAGAAGGGAGGAGGAGAGGAAGAGAGGACGAGGCTCGCGAGCTGCCGAGCTGAATTATCCCTGCGCCTGCTGCTGGTCCTTGTTTCTTAGCGCCACCAGGCTCTGCAGCTGCAAGGCAGGATGTCAATACGTGGAGCAGGAGATGGTCATGGCAGCACTTCGCCCCTCACCTGCTTGACAGTATCCACGTACAGTGACTCGAGCTCATGGGAATTTTCTTTCCCCCGTGGTCTTTCTGACTGCATCCGCTCCTCCGTGGCAGCTTCTGGCCTGATCCAAGCTGCCATGGCAGGAGGAGGGGAGGGAGGAGGGAAGGAGGGATGAGCACGAAGGGGATGAGGGGGAACTGGAGGATAGACAGTATGGGGAGCGGGAGCGGGAGCAGTAGCTCCGAAGGCAGGAGCAGGAGCAGGAGCCCGCGTGTAAGGAGCACGGGGACGTTGGTTGAGGTCCAGCCAGGAGGAGCTGGGAATCGACGGAGGATGCTCGAGCTGGACTCGTTCTCTTCTCTCTACTGGCAGTTGAGCCCCCCGGGCATGAGGAGCATTGTGCTGCCATGGCTCGAAGGTCTCCCGCAGCGTGCTCGGGCCCTGCTTGTCCCTTGCAGCCTTGCCCTTTCTGTCCAGCAGCTCGCGGAGGCGGACGTAAACACCAGCTCTCTGTCGAGCCTCTGCCAGGGAGCTGAGAGCCTCGGGAGGTGGGAAGAGGACCGAAAGAAGCTCGGAGGTGAGAATGTAGCCAATGCACTTGGGGTCGAAGGCCAGAATAATCTGTTGGGGAGGTCACACAGGAGTTGGGGGGAGCGGAGGGAGAAGGGGAGGACTGGCGGAGCACTCGAGGATGGGAGGCGGTGAGGGAGCGAAGCTTCTGGGTTAACGGGGGAGAGGGAGAGGGAGAGGGAGCAAGGAGTTCTTTCACCTCTTTCACTTTCCCTTCGCCGCACCCGAGACTCTCGAGCTTCTCCTTCAACTGCAGCAGCAGCAGCACAAGTTCACTCAGCTCCCTGAGATTCACAACTACCGCATCCTCCTACCTGGTCGTGCTGGATCGATCCATGCCCGCTGGGGTCAAGAAACTCGCAGGCTCTCTCGCTCGAGTCAAACTTTGCCGTCACCAGCTGCGTCAGCTCTTTAACTGCCCCCGAGGGAGCTTCCCTGCTAGCGTCTGCCTGCGGGACCTGAACCTTCTGCCGTCTTGATCTCGGAGCACTTGGAACGACTTGCTTGGAGGGAGTGAAATCGACACGAGAGGTCTCCCTTCTCCTCCAGAAATCTCTCCAGGGCTCGGTTCCATACACCTTCTCTGTCCGATAGCTGTGGATCCTCTGCAGCTCTTCCGAGGGCCTCATGGAGGGCAGAAGCGCCTCGTCCCCCCGGCTGAAGACCTGCTGCAGGTGAGTCCTCTTGAGAGGCTCTGCGCCGACATGCCGGAGGGCATCGGAGGAGTGGAAGGCAACTCCCTTGATCGCTCCGATCTCAAGGCGAGGAACCAGATGGTCAGTCCAGGTCTCAAAGATCATGTGCTTGGACACAGCGTAGATGTCGGAGAAGGAGCTGCGGAAGTGCTCCACCTCCTTCACGTCCAGGTAATCCCCGACTAGCTCTCGGATGACATTCGCGATGGATCGCTCCTGGAGCTGGTGGTCGCTCGAGACCTTCTCTGCTCTCGTCAAGAGGACTTTGATATGGACGTCTTTGATAGACTCGCTCTCGAGCGTCTTCTTGAGGAGCTTCTCAGCCTCCTTGCGCGGCAGAGACCCTTGAAAGGTAGTGTACTGCTTGATGATCTCGTTGCGGAAGGAAGAGAGGACCTCCATGCCTCGCTCGAGCAAGACTTGTCTCAGAGTACTCTTCGCCATCTCCCAGGAGAACCCTTCGTAGTCGATCGCGTCGGTTCCTTCCGGATCGAGCACGTCGAAGATGGCGTTGATCACTTCGACGTCGGTAAGTTGCTCCTTCTTGAGATGGAAGATCGCACTCACAAACTCGTTGCGCGAGACTGTTCCATCGGCGTTCACATCGAACTTCCAGAAATGCTCTGCCAGCTGCTCCCACTCTGACTCCATCGTCCGCCATCCAACGTACTCCTTTGCAGGGAACTTCAAGCAGTTCAGCTCTCCTCGGAGCAGGCGGTCGTAGTCGTACTTCCCATCTGCTTGCATGTCCATCTTCTTCCACTGTTTCATGAAGGTGGTGACCTGAAGCTTTGTCAACCCCAAGTCTGCCCTCCCGAGAATGGTCTCCATTGCCGCAGCCTCCAGCCGCAGGGAGTTCGATGGATCGCACTTCCTGCACGCCAACATAATCGCCGACCACTTCTTCTGCATGATCTCGGCTATGGTTGACTGGCCGCATCGCCAACTGAGGGCATCCACGTCTGAGATCTCATCCTTCACATCTTGCAACAAGTAGTCGATCATAAATTCTGAGATCCCCAGCTCGGGCCTGCGCAGCGCCATTTCCAGCGCCGACCTGGGCAGCTGCAAGACATCGAATCAGCTTCACGTGTGCACAGAACGAGCTCAGACAGGAAGGGAGATAGCCGAAGAGGATGAAACAAAATCAAGAGCGTTGGAGTGTGGAAGTGGAGGAGAGGTAGGACAAGATCCGCGGCTCACCGGCTCCTCCGACTGAGCGGCTGCTGAGTTTAGGATCTCCACGATGGTCTCCCACTTGTTTCTGCACATTTTCTCTGCCTCGAAGGATTCGCCAGCAATGTACTTGCACAGCCCGAGGTAGTTGATAGAAATTCTCTTCGTCCCCCCTGCAGGCGCATCCTCCTGCTTTCCGAACGCGCTCTCATAGGACGAGACGATCATACCCGCAAGGGTGGACAGGTCGAAAGAGGGCTGGCTGTTTCTCGGAGGCGAGATCGATTGCAGGATTGAGAGCAAGTCTGCCTTGGGGATGAAGCCTGTCGGGGAACTCCTGGGAAGTTTCAGCTGGACGCTTCTCTGCACCTCGAAGGCCTTGCACTTGGCGAAGATGGACCGCCAGTTTCTTCGGAGGAACTTCAAGATTTCATACTGGTCGCCTCCGTTGAGGAAGAAGGGAGGTGACTTTTCAACACCCGTCGGGCCAACCCCGTAGACGAAGGCACCCCAGTTGATCTGCCCGCTGGTTGTTGGATCGAAATGGTCGATGGCGATTTGGACGTGGCGATCGTCGAGGTCAATTCTGGTCTGCCTCAGACATTTGCGGAACTGCAAAGCAACGTCAGCCAGGGAGGGGGACAGCAGGAACAGATGTGAGACGATGATGTGCATCGGGGAAGCGCAGCGATCAACAAGTCACAACATTCACCTGATCCCACGAGATGGTGTTTGACTCAGGCGCCCGGTTGCTGAAATTCCAGCAGGCATCCACATTCTCAAAGGCGTTGATCACTTTGTCCCACTTAGGGATCTTGCTTTGCGCATCGAAACCTTGGAAGGCCATATGGATCAAGAAGTACTCGGAGACATAGTTTTTGATCCAATCGTCAATGTTAACGGGGCCAAGAGACTTGTTGACCAACGCAAAGACATCGTCACGGCTGAGGGATCCAAGAACCTGATGATCAAACGCTTTGAGAAGACCAGATCGAAATTCCATGGGTGTCAGGACATTTCCAGCTTTCATGGTGTTTCTCTCTCGCAGGAGATACGATCTGACAGGTTGCCAATGGACAAGGAGCGTCTGTCTGAGCTTTGCATTTTCTCGCGCATACCGCTCAACGAATTCAGACCTTGCTATCGTTCCATCTCCATTGCGATCGATCACATCAATCAAGAAATGTATCTGTTCACTCGTCAACTGACTGCCCAGACTTGACACGTTCTCGCAAAGAATTTCAAACTCTGGATAAGTAAGAAGACTGCCTTGCTTCTCAAACTCTCGATCAAACTTTTCCCATATTGGAAAAATGATTTCATGGGCTCTCAATTCGTCACCTATGTACTTATCGAGGAAGTTGCGGTGATAATCGATATATCCGATATACTTTGGATGCATTTGAAAACACTTGTCCTCGTCCAATTTCTTAATGATGCTTTGTCGCTCATTGGCCTTGATTGATCTGTTGTCTACCATGACTTGCAGTGCGGAGCAGAAATCAGCTTTGGAGATGAGTCTTACTTCTCCTTGAAAGTTGTCTTCGATGACACATGGGTAAGTATTCAACAGCTGTAGTAAGTCTGGCCATCTATTCTGAACAAGGAGCACATCAAAGAGCACTTTTTCTGTGTCGAAGTAAACGTCTACGAACGATTGAATGAAGCGACGAATGTTGAGCGACAGGATAGTAAACTTTCCGAGGTCGTCCTTGTCAAGGTCACACCACTGCTGCTTCGTGCCATCTTTCTTCTTCATGAAGATATCGATTTCTTCGTCACTGAGCTCGTCACCCATCTTTAGGCCTTCCTGCAAGGCGATCTTAAAGGTCTTCCTGGTCAGGGACCCTTTCAAGTTGGTATCAAATTTTCTGAGGGTCACTTCGATGCCTCCACGTCCAAACCATTTGCTGGCTGGAAGCTTTTCACGAAAAAGATTTACTGCAAGCTCAACACTGTCGTCCTTTCCTCCAGATTCTTGCAGTTCGTCTGCTGACTTGAATATCCATCGCCCGTCGGTCTTTGAATCAAGACCGAAATGAACGATGAAATCATAGTAATCGATGTACATCCCATCTATTGATGCTGATCGCTTGAAAAGGGACTCGATGTCGTCATCGATTTTTTCGTCAACAAAATTATCAAAATTGGATGTGAGGGCTTGTTTCAAATCTTCCCTGGACAATCTGTTGTCCCGATCGTGATCGAGTGCTCGGAATGCTTCCGTTATGTTCCGACCAAATTTCTTCAACATTGCACTACGAAGTTTCTGATCAAACAAAGGCCTTGGATAAATAGCCTTTGGACGAATTTCGAAGTTGAAGAGAAACTCGTGATAGGCGATGAAACCATCTCCGATACTGTCACAGTAATCGAAAATCCGAGAAATTTTCTCATTGTGATCGCTGTCGCCCTCGAAGACTTTCAATCTGACCAGACCCTTATGAAATTCTTCTTTCGAAAGTCGACCATCTGCGTCTTCGTCCAGAGAATGGAAAGCCTGGATAGCATCATCAAATATTTCTCTCATTTTTTGTTTGATCGTTTCCAAATTTTCTGAGATCGAATCCCACTTATCTCTACGCAGATCACGGAGATCAATGGCTGCAAGCCTTTTCAGAAATTCTTGATAGTCAACTTTGCGATTTTTATCTACATCCAGCCAGGCCAGAAATTGTTCATTTCTGCCCTGGCTGATGTTCAAACCGGCTTTGATCAGTCCCTTGTGAATGTCATCCGAATTCAGCACTCCGAGCCCACTTTCATCCATCTCGTCAAAGAGTTGAGCAATATTTCCAAACGAAGAGAGTAGATACTTTGCTATCTCGGTGTCAGAAAAAGTATCGTGCTTCCCGTCTTGAACTGAAATCGCGTTGTGTTTGTTGAATGTCTCCAAAAAATGTTCATAATCAATGAATCCAGTTCCTTGTTTGTCCGATCTCCTGATAATTTCGTCGAGTATTTTCGAAGGAAGCTTGAGCTTAAGCCTGTTTTCAACACCTTTGCGGAATTCCTCTCGAGAGAGCCTGCCGTCATGATCGACATCCATTCGCTTGAAAGCTTGTAACAGCGATTTGAAATTCGAGCGCATCGCTTTGTTGATTTTCGCTTCGACTGTCCAAATCTCAGCTTCACTTGCGGCTCCAGTGCCCGTAGCTTTCTGATTGTTAGCCTGCCCGACCTTCTTGATTTGTGCATACTCGTGATATAGCACGTCTCCAACGTCATTCTTCTGTGCATCTCGAACATACCATTCAACATCTTCCGCCGACATTCGAGGCTCAGTTCTAATCAGCGCATTCCTAAAGCCTTCCACAGTGACCACTCCTTTGGGAGTGCCCATATCCAATGCAGCACATTCTTGGATCAAAACATCCCACTTGCCTTGCATCGATGCGGGCTCATCGTCTAGAGGGGCCCCTAAGAGCCGCATCATATCATCGATCCATCTATTTCTTGCGCTGAAGTCCATGGCCACTCGTCTGGATCGAACGGATCCTCGATCCCCAAGGTCCTTTCTTCTTTCAAGAAGAGGAACCCTCTCACGAGCCCCCTTCACAACCCGATCGGAATTGAAGTCTACGATAAAGGCTTCAAGGTGCACTGAACCCTCCCCGTCCTCGCCATTGTCCCGAAGACTCAGGTCAAGATAGTCCCAGCACTTGACAAAGTCAGCTTCTGTCTTTACTGTGAACTGGTGACCGTTAGACTCGTACATGAAGGTAACCGGTCGACCGTATTTAGACTTCAGCGTTTGGAGGAGCTCTGAAAAGGACACTGACGCTTCAATGGCGAAATTCTTCTCCACACCTTTTTCATCTTTGCATTCCAACAACACCTCTGAGAACGATCTTTTATTCGTTGAGGCCGCCCCCGCCTTGTGCCCGGGTTTCAAATAATTTGCCTTTGCGTCCCCGCCTTTCGGCCCAGATTGCAGACCCTTTCCTTTCCTTTTATCTACGGTGAATGTCGATAGGAACTCTTCTAAAGTAATGATTCCATCAGCGTTGCTGTCGATGTAGTCAAATAGGTCTTCTAGCACGGAATCAGAAATATCTTTGAGACTGGGCTCATTCAAATTCCGAATGGCTTCACAAAACTCGGTTTTATGGAGCTTTCCATCAGAGTTTGAATCAAACACAACAAAGGCATCGAAGAGCTCATCGAAGAGACTTTCTATGGCCTTCCTGACTGAAGGTATCACTTCTGATATTGCAAGCCTGGAATTTGCCTTGCCAGCGGAAGCTGCTGCCTTCTTTTCAATTCCATGCTTTTCAAGGGCATTGAGAAAGTTCTTTCTTCGCTTCACCGCGGCATCCAGCAAGTCGTCGTGATTTGATCCGACAAACCAGTCCACCCCACTGGTTGTTTGAGACATCGCCTAGTCTGACGGATCGAATCTGCCGCAAATGTCTTGCTCCTTGTCAATATAACCTTGTTCCACGTCCTCCCCCTCTCTTCCTCGTGCTTGTCACAGGTTTCGCCAGCTCTCACTCAACAACTTCTTCACTGAATTTCTCCCGCCATTTCCCCTCGCTAACCCATGTCCCCATTCCGCTCCCGCTACCCGCCATTCCGAAGTTGGCGGGCCTGGTCGAAAAACCAATTAGCTCCTTGAATTCAAACCAGTAAAATAGATGAGCTAATATCTATTACATCTAAAGGCTTTAGCTCCCTTGATTATGAACTGCTGGCCTCCTCGTGCGTCTTTCTACCGCAATGCGCGCGGCTCTTCCATGCCTTCTCATGGCGCTCGCGCTCCTCGCTCACTGCGCTGAGGCCGCTCCATGCAGCTCCTCAGATGTCAGCATAGTGCAGGTACCCTCCTCTGATCCTCCGACCTTGTCTCAATGCCTCTCCCCTTCCGTGTCGAGTTTCCCGGCCATGCCGATTGAGTTCCCCCGGCCACACTGGGAGCACTGGATGGTTATGTCTGAGGGTGGTACCTGGCAGGACTCGGCATACACTGACATGGCGACCACTTTTATCCCAACCCGCGCGGGAGTGGAAGAGGACAAGACCGCTGTAATTGACCTAATCTTGACGAGGATCCTAGTCAGAGGATGCTGACGTCAGGAATTTTCCAGGTGTTCATCACCAACTTCAGGTTGTTTTGCAAGTCTGAGCAAGTCAAGGATGTGAATGTGAAGGCCTCTGTGTCCTTCCGCTCCGGCTCGGGATCCTACACCGTCCAGGTTGGAAGATCTGTGTTGCCAGTTAGAATTTCGTCTTATGGGTGAGACAGCCCAAGCTGTCCAACGTTGCTGTTCTCAAGGACGAGTCTGGATCTTATCAGGTGAGTCGGAATATCCTCCTCCCCTCACGATCTCAGAGGGTTCTGAATGAGCTGCTACCATGAAAGGTCTCCTTCACCATCCCTGAGAGGAGCATGCAGTCTGGGGAGTACAAGGTTCTTGCCTCGCAGCAAAGGGAGCAAACATGACGTGCATGCTTCAGGTTGATGTTTTCTTCGTCGGAGAATCATCCCCGGCCGCTTCCATCTCTCTCTTTCACAGGTTTCGCTGGCCACCCCATGGGCAAACACATAGTGACATGTTTGTTTGGAATTCAGCGTGCCAATCATCTCGGGAAGACACATGGAGTTCTTGGCCACCATTGTTCTGTTCTTCCAGGCTTATTACGTGACATTTCACTTGCACTCTCTTGCATGTGCTCACTTAATGCCACAGATCTCTGGACAATTCAAGACTTCGCAGTAAATTCAATGAAACAATTGACCCTTTTCAAGTAAACTCAAGTTGTATATCGGAGATCAGTCGATGACAAGCTATTCTTCGCTTTCTCTGTCATGTCAAGACATGATGACGAACAAAACATAACATAACATGGCCATGCGTTACACGATCATTTTGCTTTCTCTATTGCAGCGATGACTAGCTCCAAGGGCAAAGGAGATGTGGGGAGCGGGGATAACGGCAAGGAGATCAAGGACGAGGAGAGCAGGGACTCAACAGATCCGCGACGGTTCCTGACGTCGTGAGGGGCCGGAGCCTCGAGCCTCACTCGCCCATCGCCCGCTGGTCGACCCAGGCGGCTCTCCTCTATTTCATATGAGTGCTGTTCGATTTGGTTCCCGCCTGGACCTACGTCACCATTCCCCCTGCCCTATCGTTGTCTGCGGACCCCTGCCGCCTCCTCCTACTGCTCCCCCTCTCCTACCATCTTCCATCAGCTTTCCTTCACCCTGCTCGTCCTGCCCTGATCGCATCCCTTCCATCATCGCGCTGGAAATGTCTGACAACACAGCGCGAGCTGCCTCGAGGCAGGACGAGGCAGCGGACAGGAAGAAGTCAGCAGAGGAGAAGACAAAGTTCCTGGAGAAGAGGATCATGATCGACCGGCAGCTCGGGAGGTCCCGCCATGGTTCCTGGCAGTTCCTGCGTCGGAACGCGGATCTAGCGTTCGAGGACTTCGCTGAGAGGATAGGAACTCCAAGGGACCGTCCCGCAAGGGATCAAGTCCTACCACTCAGTGCGAGGGGAACAAGATCGACCTTTGAAGATTGGTCTGCATTCCGAGATGATGCTTCCTTGCATCCTGCAAGGACGCCCAGGCGCCATGTCGCCCGGTCCTCCTCGTCCCCAGCCAGCTGCACTCCTCGCAACCTGCCATGCACGGAGAGCTTCAAGTGCATCCCGGACCCCAGGTGGAAGGAGATCTTCAGCCGGTCAGCCAAGGAGTTTGAGAAGGCCGTGCAACTGGAAAAGCTGTATGCACAGAAGATGTTTGCGTACAAGGGAGAGCAGGTGTCAAGGAAGCGAATCGAACTCAACACGCCCAGGGCTGCCAAGGGGGACTAGCAATGTGTTAGGATACTTCAAGGGCGAGGCAGGATAGACGGTGAGAGGGTGGAAGGCAGGGAGAGCAAGACATGAAAACATTTTCTTAAAAGTCAACCTATTCGTACAGGTGCATACTGTCCAACCCCACATCATGGCTTTCGTCGTGCTCGTCGTCAAGAGAGTCGTCGAGGTGCGGGGGCCCGCCATGATGAAAGTCTTCTCCTTCGGGCATGTAGTCGTCATGGTACATCCCCTCTGGATCGCCGTGGAGATGGTTGTGATGGAAGTATCCCTCGTGAACATCCTGGGCGGTGGAGTCAACAGCTGCGTGGTGGCGCAGCACAGCAGGGGAGACAAGCACCTCATGCAAGTCACGCAGATGCATCTGGAAGAATTCGTCGAAGGAGACGTGCGAGCTGTTGTCACTGAGAGCAACGGTCAGGAGCTGACGGCTCAAGGAGCGTTGCCTCACTGATCAAGGTCGGCAAAGATCTCGTCGATCATCTGTTTGGTCTGGAGGATTCATCACTCAACCAGGGAACAAGCCTCTGCCAGCAAAGGTTCCAGACCTCTTCCGGTGACATATCCTGCTCTGAGCTCTCAGAGTTGTGCTGTGCGACGTGGTTTGTCAACTGGGTAGAAAAGTCAACATGCACAAGCTCGATCGTTCATGAAAGGAGAACCTCCTCGTACGAGACTTGCCCGTCCTTGTTGGAGTCCATGAGATCGAAGTCCTTCCGGGCTTCGTCCTTTGCCTCGTTCATCTCCGTCTCTGTGAGGTTTCCGACAAAACTGTGGAAGTCGTGGCCGTCCTCATAGTCTGGCTCCTGCGGGATGTTGTGGTACATAGCATGCAACCACTCCTCGAAGCTGATCCTGGAGTTGCCGTCTCCATCATCCTCGTGAAACTGCTTCTTCTGCAAGAACGAATGAGACGCTGACACACAAGGCGCAACGAAAGACCATGGTCTCCATCTGCTGCTTCTCCACTTCCTCCACGTTTCCCACCGAGCTTCCTGTATCATTCCCCGCCCCGGGTTTTGTCGTCCTCACGTGCGAATCCTTGAACAAGGCCTTTGCATACTCCCGCAGGTCCAACTCGCCGTCCTTGTTCAGGTCTGCCTCGTCAAAGAACCCTTTCTCCATTTCCCTCCAGTGTTCCTCTTCTTCCTCATCCATGACATGCACGCCCTGCCTCCCGAGCCCATGATCGTCCTCCAACGGGTAGTCTGGTGCTCGTCCATGGTCCTCTTCATCTAGATCGTGCTCGTACTTGTCTCCCAATATCCCTTCCATGAGCTCGTTGACATCGTCGTTGAATCTTGTTCGGGTGTCAACACTACAAGGATAGCACAAGCCTGCATCACCTTCGAGCCGCCGGCGGGAAGGTTTCGGAGTCAACAACTGGAGCGATCGTCAGGTAAAGGAACAGATGTCATGTTGTGTCCTTGGATACCGTGCAATAATGCAAACAGCGACGATGCGAGGACCACCCAGTAAAGGGCCCGACTGCATCGTACCCGACACATGCCTGTAGTGAGCAAAGAGAAAGCATCACTGTCAAGAGAAGAAGATGCACGATTCAAACCACAGAATCAAATTCCTCCTCTGAACCACTAACTCCCTCCAGCTCAATTCGAATCACTCTCTCTTCCATTCCCGACCTTTCGACTCTTTTCCCTCGCTGGCTAGTTCTTACTCTCCCAGCCTTCACAAAAACTCGCCAAAGTCACGCACTTCCCTCATCTGGCCTCTCCCCTCGCAGCATCTTTCATCTATCCTATCTCCTCCTGCTCCTCCCTCCCTCCCTCCTCTGCTCGTTCCATTGCCCATCGCTCTAGTTGAACTGCCATAGTCGCGTCAGAGGAAAAAAGAATTTTTGTTTGTTTTACACAAACTTGGTAGTGACATATTCGTGACTCCGAGGCTCCGTGATCCGATCCGATGATGCCGGATTGCGGCCGGGCCGGGGCGGGGCGGGCGCCGCGGGCCCAGTGCGCCCCGCCGCCGCCGGGGCGGCGGCCCGGGGCCGCCGTGACTCGTGTTACGAAGCCCGGGCCCCCCGGGGCTGACTCAGACCGATACGGGACTCCCGGACTTCCTGAGTCAACCCAGTGACCTAGCAGTCCGGTTCGAGTCCCCCACTGGCCCGCCGGACCTCGTCCGTGGCAAGTTACCGGCCCGGCGAGTTCCTTGGACCGTTCGCCGACTGAGTCGTTCACTCAGTGAACTACCGGTTCGGAAGCCGCTGAGCCGGGCCCGGGCCGCGGCCCGGCCCGGCGTTCTAGTCGCTTCCGAAGTTCAGCCGCCCGATCGGAACTCTTGGAAGTCACAGGCCGTTAGTGACTGCTTTCCCGGCTCCCCGACCACCCCTCCTTTCCTCTGAACTCCACCCCCATCCTCCCCTTCCTCAGCACCCCTATTTTGATACCCCCCTCTTTCCCTGCAAACTACCCAGTGCAGGGAAGGGTCCCTATCCTTTAGATGTCTTGCACCCTATGGTTGTGGACCCCACCCCCTGCTGGGATTCTGACCACCCCTACCATGTCATCACCCCCCGAACTCCCTTTGGACCATCAACAAATTTGTACCACCCTGCCTTTATGACAGGTAGTCGTAACATACCCCCTATTTCAGGCAAGATTTCCAGCAATTTAATACCCACACATGAATATTCTGACCCACCCCTCATGAGTGTACCCACCACTTCATCATCAGTACCCGTTCCTGCTTCACTTATACCCCTTGTACCGCGTACGCCCCCCACTGACCCTCCTCAGTCATCGCAATGCAGGGAGCCGGTGCTGCGTCGCGGTCAGCGATCGTGCTGTCGGCGCTTCTCATGTCATCCTTGTTGCTCCTTTCTAGTGCTAGCACTCAGCAGTGCTCCTCTCCTCTCCACCTGCGCGGCGGAGGAGTCATGGCGCCCCTGCAGTCCATCGCCAAGAGGGTTGGAGGTTTTCTTCGAACCGCTTCCTTCGGGAATCTTGACTCTTCAAACCTGGTAGCTCCAGAGGGCAAGGTCGATCTCTCCTACTCCGATGTGCAGCGTTTGAGGGGCGGGGTGCAGGTGTATCCTCTTGTTTCCCTTGCATGCTCCTTGCTGCTGCTGCTTTCTCCTTGTTGTCTTTGAGGGATACTTGAAATTCTCCACCAAGGATGTTCGTTACACCGCGGTGACTTGAATGTTCTTTTCTTGCAGATCATCTTCGATGATATTAGGAAGCTCATGGAGGAGGAGAAGCTCTCTGAATCCGCCATCAGGGTACAGCTTCATCGCACCCAACAGGCAAGGATCCTGACGTTAGCACAGGCCTTCCAGCAAGCCTACGAAGCCTTGGTCCGTGGAGACGACGGCATGATCTCAGAGCGAATGATCTCTCCTGCTCTTGACTTGCCTATGCTTGCCGATATCAAGCAGGTTTTCTCCCTCCGCCAAGTTGATGATGGTGCTGACGAGACTGTCAGGCCTCGATTCCCGACGACAAAGTCAAGGCTGTAAGAGAGCTTGACGCCTGATGGGCGACGGGCTGACATCTGGTTCCCAGCTTCTTGGACAGACTGTCATCTTGAAGCTCAACGGTGGTCTGGGAACGGGAATGGGTCTGGAGAAGGTGAGAGGGTTGCATGGCGGGCGGGGACAGTGTCTGAAAGCGAGGCACAGGCCAAGTCCCTCCTTGAAGTCAAGGGGTCCGAGACCTTCTTGGACTTCATTGCCAAGCAGGTGAGCTTGACAGTCTGACGAGGATCCTGCTGGTTTGAGAGACTGCAGGTGTTGCACTTCAGGAAGACCAAAGGAGACGTCCGCTCGATGTTCATGAACTCCTTCTCTACCAGGTCCTCCCGTGACGCCGATGGGAGAGGACTGGGAGCTGACAGCCTTGCTCGCAGCGCCGACACCAAGGATGCTCTCAAGGGACATCCAGAGTTGGTTCAGGGAGGATGGTGCGCCACGCGAGCTGCTCGCTCTCTGTCCTTGGGATCGCGCGCTTAAATGATGCAAACAGGGAGGTCGTCCAGAACAAGGTCCCCAAGATCGATGCCGAGAGCCTGCGCCCAGCCAAGTGGCCAGGTAGAAGGCATGGAGGAGAGGATTGCAGCGAGACTGATGACTGGGCTCAGCAAACCCCACCAAGGAGTGGTGCCCTCCCGGTCACGGTGATCTCTACCCTTCCCTTGCTGGATCAGGGATGCTCGATTCCCTCCTCAAGGTGAGCGGGGAGGCAGGACAGCAATCCGAGGTGTTGTGAAGAGGAGAGGCAGGATGGGGTGAAGTACATGTTCGTCTCCAACTCGGACAACTTGGGAGGTACGACTTGTCATGGTTAGCCAGCTGGAATATGACGGGAGTGAGCGCAGCCACCCTCGACCTCGAGCTCTTGAACTTCTTCGCTCAGTCCGACAAGTCCTTCTTGATGGAGGTGCTGCTGTGCGAGGGAGGATGGGCTGTGTCTGAACTTCCACGTTTCAGGTGTGCGAGCGCACGGAAGCTGACAAGAAGGGAGGACACCTTGCCGTGAGGTTTGACGCCTTCGTCCGACCTCAGTCCCTCTCCTCACTGCCTCCCTCCCACCTGCAGGAAGCAGGACGGCCGCCTCCTCCTTCGTGAGTCGGCTCAGTGCCCACCAGACGACGAGAAGGCCTTCCAGGATGTGTCCAAGCACAAGTACTTCAACACCAACAACTTGTGGATCCGCCTGGACAAGCTGAAGGAGGTTCTGAGAGCATACACTTGGTTGCTGGACTGAGCTGCTGGGAAGGTGTTGGACAAGAACAATGGAGTTGTTCCCCTGCCCATGATCAAGAACGCCAAGACCGTGGATCCCAGCGACTCCAAGTCAGCTGCTGTCTTCCAGGTTTGAGGAGACGAACCCCTCCCCTTCCCCTTCGCTCTCTCTGACTTCATTCCAGCTGGAAACTGCCATGGGCGCAGCTATCGAGAGCTTCGACAACTCTGGAGCCATCGTGGTCGACCGATCTCGTTTCGCCCCTGTCAAGACCTGTGCTGATCTCCTGAGGGTGCGGCTGGAGGAGGACGGCCCCGCTCCTCTCTCATGCTCTTGCTCCATGGCAGGTCCGCTCCGACGCCTACGATGTGACTGAGGACAGCCGCCTAGTGCTCTCGGCCGAGTGCAAGGGACAGGTAGGAGACTCCAGCTGGAGGGAGAGCCCAGCTCCTGACCCAGCTGTCAGCCGCCTGTCGTCGATCTCGACAAGAAGGAGTATAAGACGATGAGCGGGCTCGACAAGATGCTCAGCAAGGTGAAAGGAGCTCCTCCACCACAGCCAGACCTGGCTGCTTCTGACACTCCATGGCAGGGAGACGTCCCCTCCCTGAAGCACTGCAAGAAGCTCACTGTCAAGGGCAAGGTCTGCCTTCCCCACCTAGAGTGGAGCTGGAGCTGAGCTGGACCCCAGGTTGCGCTCGAGAAGGGCATCACCTTCAAGGGCGAAGTCACCATTGTCAACCCGACCGCCGAGTGGCGTATCCTCAAGGTGGGAATCAGCTGGGGTTTGACGCAGCCCTCCGCTCACAGTCTTTAATGCGCAGGCCGGAGTTTATGAGAACCAGACCGTCGAGCTGGTAGCGTCGCCTCCTCTTCCATCCTCACTGCTCCCTCCCATCTCCTCCATGCTCTTTCATCCCCCTCCCCCCCTCTTGAAATCCCTGTTTTCTTTCCTGCTACTTTCTCCTTGTCCCGACTCCGATGTTGACGAGCTTGACTGGCAGGGCGAGAACAGTGAGAAGTTGTAAGAGCCGGGCCCCTCGAGACCTCGGGAGGTAGGGACAAGCTTGTGGAGTGGAGACGAACTGATCGGTGTGGACAGGCCGACAGGGCAAACAACTTCAGTTGATCATGTGATGATGAGTGAAGACATACAGAGGTTGAACTGGAAGCTTTGCCTCAGTAAACACCTCCTAGTGATGAAATTGGTTTCCGACACGATACCAAACTCCTGCTCTTCCTCCCTTCACTTCACTCTCACTGGCTCTCTCTATCCTCACTTAATCCCTCCCATCCATACATGTACACCGACACCTTATTATCACTTCGCCCACGCGTTCAACGCGCTCATGGCGCTTGCAACGTCGCTCCTCTCGCATGCCGGCGTCGACATGTCTACCGGCTCTGAACCAGATGTCAGCTCACGAGTGCCTGGAGGGAGGAGAAAACAACCGACTGCGAGCGGGAAGGGGCCAAGGAAGAGGAGAGTGTCGAGTAGAGGCGCCTGTCATCGCATCAAAAAACCCCTTCCTCCCCTCTCTCGTGCTCTCCTCCCCTCTCCCTCCAACCAACCACCTTCCACCCCCTTTCCTGCCTCCTCCCTCCCCTCTCCCTCTTCACCGTGCCCTCCTCGAACGGATAGTTGACAGCCTTGTACGCAAGCCTCCACTCAGCGAGCGGCTGCAACCCTCCGCTGGTGGGAAACAGCTGCCACATCTCCTTCCGCATCGCCACCGTTCCTCTCGCATCCACCACGCTGGTGTCCGTCACGTTCCCTTCGTCCTCACCGTCAGCACTCCGTTCCTCAGGATCTCAGTCAGCGCACTTGAGATGAGCAGTCGGTATTCCCCGCTGCAGCCGCACTCTTGGCAGCCGTTGAGGTCGAGCGGCTCTGCCTTGGGGAGCTCGAAGTTGAGCTCGTAGTAACCAACTTGCCCTTCCTTACAGCAACATCCTCAGATTCCTCCCTCTCTTCCTTCAGCTCCTCCTCCTCCCTCCCTTTCCTCCCCCCTCCCCATCCTTCCTTTCCGCCTCCACCCCCTCCTCCTCCTCCTCACCTTACGCAAAGAAACGAGGGGGCGAACAGCATTGGCATCGCACAGTGTCAAGGCAGCAGAGTGATTCTTGCGAAAGGCGACGTTGAACGACAGGGCCTCATCCTCCGACGCCTGCGCCCCTTGGCAAAAGAGAGCAAGCCGAGCTGTGCAGCTGACGCGATCGGGGAGGCTGCTGAGGGTGAAGGAAGCGCTCCAGGCAGTGAGAACGTCGACGTTGAGGTTGGTGAAGGAGAGGGCAGGATCCATCCGAGGAAGGGAGACCCGGAGGTCATCGTTCTTGCACTGGGGTACGGAGGAGACGGCAGCGAGGAGCGCACCGGCGCAAAGGGAGATGCGGAGCCAGGCATCCAGTGCTAACTTGAGCATGGGAGTAGAGGTGTGCTGCCAGGAGAGGTGTGCTGTACTCAACTCATCTGCATCCCCTTCTAGGCCAGAGCAGGAGGGAGTAGAAAGGGACAGGGAGGAGGGCTGCCGCTATTCCCACTGTTGCCGCTTCTGCTGCTGGGCTGCTGCTATTCCCACTGCTGCTGGTGCTGGTGCTATTCCCACTGCTGCTGGTGCTGGTGCTGGGGCGAGTGCTGCTGCTGCTGCTGCTGGTGCTGCTACTGCTACTGCTGCTGCTGCTACCGTGCTGCTGCTGCTGCTGCTGCTGCTGCTGCTGCTGCTGCTGCCGCTGCTGCTGCCGTCGTTCTGCTGCCTCAAAGAGGTCAAGTTGACCTGCCGGTAAAACAGAGTACCCTCATCCCCCCACTTGCCCTTCCTCAAAACCCTCATCCCACCCTCATCCCTTCACTTACCCTCTCCGGATCACCCTACCCCTGCACCCTACCCTGCACCCTACCCTGCACCCTGCCAGAGGGGAGCACCCTACCCTGACCATACCCAGCACCCTACCCCTGCACCCTACCCTGCACCCTACCCTGCACCCTACCAGAGGGGAGCACCCTACCCTGGTTTCGAAATGTACTTGAGGAACAACGGGTGCGGTAAACCAGGGGTCCTTTCCTATTAGAATTGAAAGAAAAGGGAGGGTGGGTCGTTCGATCGTGCACTCGCAGTGGGTCGGAACAAATGCAGGGTGTCGTCGCGACGCTGAGCGGGAAGATGGCGGGAGGGATGAGGAGAGTAATGGTATCGAACTGGAGGTCAGGGTATCCAGCTATCTCCGCTCTCCTCCCTCCTCTCCCTTCCCTCCGCCATCGTCCCTTTCCTGAATCAGGGCAGTCTTCGTCGCCCCCACTCGCTGGATCCTCTGAGCCGACGGTCAGGTCGTGCACAGCTAGCGATCAGAGGAGCGCGTCCTTCAAGCTGCTCATGAAGAGAACCGCTGGGACCATGAGCCATGCCCTCGCATCCAGTGCAGGAGCCTTGAAAGGCCCCCCTGCCCGCTCCTTCTCCTCCCCTGCTGGGAACTTGAAGGCAGTGACTCGCCAGTCGCGGAGGAGGAACGAGAGGTACGAGTTCAGAAGACTGCGACGACCCCTGCAGAACGTGTACAAGCTCTCACGACCTCTCCGACCCGCCGAGAGGCTTCAAGCTCACAAGCTTGCCAAGAGATATTTCCCAATGGCGGTTGCGATGCGGCGCCTGGCAGACGATGGTAATGATTCATGAAGCAGGTGAGAGGAAGCATAGCTCGGCTGCTCAAGGGGATCCTAGACCGCAGGAGTCGCAGATACCTTCATGTCCACCGCCTCAAGATCCCGTGAGCCATGGCAACCTTGACGCCTGTGTGCTAACCACTTGCTCCCTCCCTAGTTTGCCATCCCTGATCCTTGAGCCGTGGAGAGAGGACAAGGTTTCCAAGTCGCCACAGCCGAGCGACGTGAAGGCTGACGGGAATGAAAATCCCCCTGTTGTCAAGCCGAAGGCTGTGAAGAAGAGCAAGTTAGCTGTGCAGGCAGACGGGGCTCAGGGGAAGGAGGAGGTGGTAAAAGTAGCGAAATTGCGGAGAAAGTCGGATGCGCCCATTACCGGCCTCAGTCAGGCAGACTTGGACGCCATCTTGGAGGGCACAGGCATCCCACAAGCAGCTGGCAAAGATGTGAAGCCCATCACGATCGAAGACCTCGGTCAGCCCGGAGATATGGTGGATGAAGGAATGCTTCCTCCTCGCAGGGGCAAGAAGAGCGCGAGACAGATGAAGCAGATGTCGTTCCAAGAAGAAGACGATCTCTTCGACGAGGATGAGGATGGGTCGGATAGGCGTCCTCCTCGGAGGGGAGGCAAGCAGCTCTCGAAACCGAAGAAGATGTCATTTCATGATGAGGACGATCTGTTCGACGATGACGATTACGAGATCGATGGACGTCCTGCTCGGAGGGTAGAGAAGCAGCAGACCGGGAAGAGAAAAGGCGGCAGAGCGAGGGAGGACGAGGACATGGACGAAGACGAGGATTGGAAGGAAAGGCGTTCTCCTCGCTCCCCCGGGAAGTATGGGGATGTACGAGAATTGGATGAGATGGACCACAAGTCCTTCCTGGCCTTGAAGGGCATTAAAGTACCAGGTGAGAGCGATCGAGTGAAGCGGGACGGCAAGCGACGTTCGGACAGTTCGAGAGTGTTCCGCAAGCCTCTCAAGGATGAGCGATGGGTGACAGACCGGAGCTCCGGCGGGTTCAACAGCAGCGGCGTCGTCAATTTCGTTGCGAGCGCTTCTACCAAGAGTAAACTTGTGCTTGCAGTCACTTGCCTTGTATGACTTGCACGAACAGTTACGAATCCTGAAACCTCCTGGATGAATCCCGAGCAAGAAGCGTCTTGGTGGGGAGGGCTGGATCGCGTGTGGATTGTAACTTTTGCGCAGGCTGGGCTATCAGGAGCTTGATGACGAAGATTCGGATCCCGTGGATGCGCGAGGAGGAAGAAGTTCGATGGGAAAGAGCCAAGAGGGCAACGAGGGCCGGAGGTTTCAATCTCAAAACAGATATGGACGAGACGAAGAATCAAGTGGTGGATTCGGCAGAGGAGGACGTAGAGGAGAGGGGAGGGGAGGGAGGTTTGAAGGAGGAGGAAGAGGAGAAAGCAGGGGAGAGGGAGGCAGGTGGGGCAGGGAAAGGTATGAAGATCGGAATGATGGAAGGGATGGGAGGGGAGGAAGGTTTGAAAGAGGAGGGTACGGAGACAGAAGGGGAAGAGGAGGCAGAGGAAGGTATGAAGATCGGGAAGATGGCAGAGAAAGGAGGGGATTTGAAAGAGGAGAGGGAAGAGGAGGGTTCGGAGGAAACAGGTTTGCACGACAGGGATCTGGAGAAAGGAGAGGAGGAAGAGGAAATAGGGACGAAAGAGACGGTAGAGACAGGCGGGAGAGAGGAGGAAGGGAGGAGAGAGGAGGAAGGGAGGAGCGAGGAGGGAGGTCTGGTTTCCGAGGCAGAAGAGGTGGAGACGGATGGGACGTCTAAGCGCGCCAAGGACGAGACGAGGAGGAGGAGGAGGAGGAGAACGAGGGAGGAGGAGGAGGAGGAGCTGGACTGTGCATGCGAGGAATCAAGTGCAGAGTGGAGAGAGCGCAAGTTCGAGACGAAAATCCAATTTTTTTTTCCCACAACAAAAGTTTCCATTTTTTTTCCCCCACAACAAAAGACTGAAAGCAAGGTGCCGTTATCCAGGTTTGAATTTGAATCTTGAACTCGTATTTTACACGCCATGCACGCGGGCAATGGATGGTTCGGCCCTCTCCCTTCACGCGTCTCCCACGTCGACAAACCTGATGAGACTGCCATTGGCCTCCGTCTGCCAGACGTTGAGCTCCTCGTAGCTCTTGATACAGTCCAGCAGCTGTCAAGCATGTCAGTCCTCCTCCTCCTCCTCCTTCACTCACTCACTCACTCACTCACCCTCCTCCTCCTCCTCCTCCTCCTCCTTCACTCACTCACTACTCCTCCTCCTCCTCCTCCTCCTCCTCCTTCACTCACTCACTCACTCCTCCTCATCCCCATCTCCTTTCCTTCCTCCTCCTTTCCCTCCTCCTCCTCGTGAATCATTATCACGATCATCACCACCATCCTCGTCCTCCGTCCCCTTCCCCCTCTCCCTCTCCCTCTCCCTCTCGTTACCTGCGAGCGAGTGAAGCCTTTCATCACCGCACGGCTCTCAAGGTCTGCAACGCGGATCGAGTTGCCCTCCCCAGCTGCGAGCGCCAAGTTTTTGGCCATGTCGAAGATGGTGGAGATGGGATCGTAGGCTCTGCGTGACGGTGAGAGGGCGGAAGGAGAGGGAAGAGGAAGAGACAGACGAGGAGGACGAGGAAGAGGGCAGGGACAGTGGCAGGAACAGAAAGCAGCAGCAGCAGCAGCAGCAGCAGCAGCAGCAGCAGCAGCAGCAGCAAGGATGGTCATACCTGTGACCTCCCTCGACCTCCTCGTAGAGCGACTTCTTGCTCTCGTACATGAGACGAATGGCCTCGTCAATGTCCGCCTGCTCCACTTCCTTGGAGAACCGCAACCGCGCAAGTCCCTGCGAAATGTTCAGCTTCTCCTCCTACTACTGCCACTACAACTACTCTACCTCCTCCTACTCTTCCTCCTCCTGCTACTCCTACTCCTACTCCTACTCCTACTCCTACTCCTACTCCTACTACTACACCACCACATCCACATCCTCCGTCCTCCCCTCTGGTTCCTCCTCTGACCTGCGAGAGGCGGAGGATGGAGAGGAGTGTACGAGCAGTGGTGAAGAAGTATCTTCTGCTGTCTGACTGCTCCTCGTCGGTCCTCATGGAGACGTAGGCGCCCGTGATGTACTCGGAGAGCTCGGCGGGGATGTAGGGGTCGACCGATCGAGCCTGAGCGATGTAGGCGCGCAGGAACTGAGAGTCGAAGACTTCGTCGAGGTCAACCTGCAAGGCACTGAGCCAGGCGGTGGTGGAGGAGGAGGCTGGAAGCGGGAAGGGTGAAGTGGGAGGGGAGAGGGAGAGGAGGACGGGACGACGCGGGGAATCGAAAAAGGAAGGGAAAGAGGAGAGCGGAGGGGCAACGGAGAGAAGGAGCTGACCTGCGGGGCGGCAGCGAAGCGATGGACGTGGCAGACGTGGCGGGCGAGGTTGAAGTCGGTGTCGGCATTGATCTTGTCCATGAGGAGGAAGAGGATATCGAACCTTGACAGGAGCGCAGGAGGAAGGTTGATGTTCTCCGAGGGTGATCGCCGAGGGTTGTAGCGGCCGTAGGCAGGGTTGGCGGCAGCGAGGACGGAGGTCCTGGCGTTGAGGGAGGTGGTGATGCCGGCCTTGGCAATAGAG